ATGCACGGGGCACTGGGTTCGATCCTCAGCACCACATAAAAATAAAATAAAGATGTTGTGTCCACCAAAAACTAAAAAATAAACATTAAAAAATTATCTCTCTCTTAAGAAATTATTTAAAAAATCAACAAAAATAAAGGGATAAAAGTGAATGAATTATATATTTAACTTAAAAAACAAGAACATAAAATTTTAAATAATACTAAGAAATAAAAGAAAGGAAATAATGAAGATAAGATAAAAAGAGAACTCATAAATAAATCAAATTCTTGTTTGAAAGACAACAAAGTAAGAAATGGCAAGGTAAACAGTCTTTTAAACAGAGGAAATAGGAGAAGAAGAAATTACTCAGCAAACTTGATAAGGATGGAATAGATAATTTCCTAGGAAAATTCAATTTCATGAAATTAACTCCAGGGAGATAGAAAGTTTAAATAGATCAATTTCCATAAAATGGAGAAAAACAACAGGTCAAAATGTCCACAGGAAAATTCTAACAACCCTTCAAATGTCAATTCCAGTGCTGCTTAAACTCTTTCAGAATACTGAAAATATGTTCATTTTATGAAGCATTCTATTGTTACCTAAATTTGATAAGACTTGCACAAAAAGCAATTTAAAAGAAATACCAAGCTCACTTTTAAGTTTCAGTGCAAAAAAAAAATATATCAAATGAAATGTAAGCAAATATAACAGAAAAGCATATCTGAAAATGCATCATGACTTAGGTGAGATTTATAAGGAATGAAAAGATAGCTCAATATTAGGAATACCCTTACTATCATCTTCAGCGTGAATATACACATGGAGAGGAAAATCATCATCTAGGTCGACTCTGCAATGAAATTCAACAAAATTTGTTGTTGTTTTTGTTTGTTCATTTGTTCTTTTGGTGCTGGGAATCAAATCCAGGGGCCTCATATATTCTAAACACATGCCCTACCACTGAACTATACCTCCAGTCCAGTGTAATTTTTGACTACAAGAGAGACAGAGAGAAGAATTGGCGGGGGGGGGGGAACAGAAGAGACAAAGAGAAACAGAAAATGAGAGAAATACAGAGCTGAAATTATGATAAAGTGCACATGCAAACATGACAAGGTCAATTGCTAAACCTAGATGGAGGGATTTGTATAGTAATTGCATTATTCTTATAACTTTTCTATAGTTACAAAATTTTCACAAATTCTGGAAGAAAAGTGCATGCATTCACTTTTGTTTTAAAATGCTTACCTCTTTGTTCATGTGTTACATGAGGCTTAATCAATGCTAAAGTGCTCTGAAGAGGAAAGAAATACTCTATATCCCTTTGAGCAATTTCGCTGGAATCGCTTCCATACAACTGGTTGAAAGGCAGTCCATCCATTGCAAACCGAGCACATAAACTTTGAAAAAAGAAGTCAAGTTAAAAAAAACTAATATAACAGTGCCACATGATTTAACACCATTTATGTAAGTTGTTCAAAAGCTATCAAGAAACAGCAACACATCTGGATCTAGGTACTCTGACATAGGAAGTCATTATACAGTGGCATGGGCCATGCTATTTCCTTTCAAATATAGAACAATCATTAGGAATAAAGGAGGTAATCACTTAAATCATCATGGTAATGGATATTGCTAGATAAATATGAAAGAAGGAATGGATACTCTGCCTAGTGAAAAAGCCCAGATTCTATAGAATCCTGGTTGCATTATTTTTTAACTGTGTGATACTGGGCAGTGAGTAAACTACTCTGTGCTTCATTGTCTCAAAACTTTTAGAAAGTGGTTTTGGGGATGCAGTCAAATGGTGATTTGAAACATATGGTGCATACATTCATGCATATGGTGCATGAATTCTTAATATTTCTTCCCCTGCTCTCCAGGAAATATTATTAAGAATTAGATGGCATCTGACTTTATGCCAAAGATAACAAATTATTAACATTGAATCCAGGAGATACTATAATAGAATCCTCCAGGTAAGTAAGCACAGCATTAAAAGAGGAGCATATGGTACAGCTTTGTAGAAAGAAGCTGAGAGATGTCAACTACACTGGAGAATCCATGTTGGGTTGCAGCTTATTCTGCTTTTGCTTCCATTCCTAAGGAAGATTATGTGTCTCACAAATCAATTATTGTTCCTGAATTCTGTCAGTTATCTTCGTTACCTGTCTCTCTATTGATGTTTAGTTCAGCAAAGGAGACCCTTTCTGCCCATCTAAATTTCTGCCCTTAAAAAATCAGTCCTGAGCAGCCAACCCAACAAAATCCAGCTCTGCTGAATAATATCCTTTCCTGCTCAGAATGATGTATTGTCGGAAATTGGCTTTCTTTAATAATTTTTGTCTTTTTTGTTTCAGAAACCCAGTCATATTTCCTTTTTGCCATATCCACGTGACCATTCCACGTGGCCCTTGGCTATTCCCACACCTCTGGTTTGAAGATAATTCTTTTCCAAGTCCCCTGAAGCCTGTGATTGCTGGGAATGGGGAATTTTCACAGTGAATGACAAAAACACTGTAAGCCATTCCACAACCAGCCCCGCTGTTCAGCCATTAACCATGATTACTGGCAAAAGAGTCCGTAGGGGTAAAAGTTACTGAAGGATAGGCTACAGGGAAGAAAGGTTGAGAATGAGTGGTTGCAAGTGACATCTTTCAGATAAACCAGTACACAGGAAAGAATTTGATGACCAAGTGAAGGAAAGGGACAGAGCTCGCTCAAAGAGTTATTTCTAAAGTCGGCCATGAGAGCTAAATAGAGCCAAGGAAACTGAAAATGGAGATACCAAAGAAAAATAATGGCCATGAACTTAGGGTATTCCCACATAATATTAGTCAAAACCTTGAGAGGGGGCAGTCACTGAGCATCTGTGCTTAGCATAAAGGTCTCTGTACTGATGTGCAATCTCCATCTTTAGAACCACACGTCTAGACCAGTTTGCCTGTGAGCATAAGCCTGTGACAACAGGAGTTTCTCTGTGGTACCATGCCTTGCATTCTGTGGTCCAGGTGATTGAGAGGGTCTATGGCCCTCTGCTCACACCATTTGCAGAGTGATCAATCTGTATTATCTTTGCAGTAACTGGCACTGAGCCTGATTAAGTGGTAAAATGTACCTTGTAGGAAAAGTAAGATTCAATTATATCCTACCTCAGATAAATCATTTCACTTTTAAGTGATGCTTCATATGGACCTTTATTTAATATGTCAACACATAGGTCAAGTTTGTTGTGCCTTATGAAGCATCCTTTCTCATGTACACTGGAAAGAAGAGCCTTTCTTCCCCTCAGTTAAATCCTAGCTTGAAATCAGCATGAAAAATTCAAGTGAATTGTAATTCTCTTTGTTTCCCCAAGTTACACACCAAGCATGAAGTGGCAAGAGTTATTATTCCTATCCTCCAGATTTTACCAAGCCCAATAGCTAAGATCAATTAATATTGAAATACTGCCTGCTCTGTGCCAGATATCATGCCATATGTCAACCTGATAACAGAGTTTTGTTGACTTCTAAGATTCCTCAGTAAACTAACACAGTAAATTAGAGTACATATTCAGTTAGTCATCATTATCTTGAAACTCTGTGATCATGTAAAGAGGCTGCAGTTGCCATCATATCCCTTTCTCAGAAGAACTTTCTCCTAAATAGCAAGTGAGATGGATATTTCTTCCAAAAGATGACCTGTTGGTTAGGTTTTTACCTATTAGTTCCCAGTTCCAAGTCAAGCATCTCACAACCTTCTCTTGCAAAACATTGTCCAACTTCAAGCTTCTTGTGGTATAGATATTAGGTGTCCCCCAAAAGTTCATGTGTGAGACAATGCAAGAAGGTCTGGAAGTGAAATGTTTTGAGTTGTGAAAGCCTTAACTTAATCAGTGCATTAATATCCTGATAGGGATTAACTGAGTAGTAATTGTAGGCAGATAGGGTGTGGCTAAAGGAGGAGGGTCACTGGGGTTGTGTCTTGAAGTTTGCATTTGTCCTGGTGATGAGAGTTGGTGCCATGTCCCCACCTGCTTTTCTCTACTATGTATGTCCTCTGTGTTTTCTCTCATCTTGGGCCCCAAGGAATAAATCGACCATCTATGAATTTAGATTTGTGAAACCATGAGCCTCAAAATAAAATTTTCTTCCTCTAAAATTTTTCTTGTCAGGTCCTTTGGTCAGAAGAGAAAAAAAAATGACTAAAATAGACATTGGTACCAAGAAGTCACAGCTGCTACTATGACTAACCTGACCATATAGTTCAGGGGATTTTGGAGCTTTTTTAAATTTGTGAGAGGATTTTTGGAAAGTTTAATGATGCAAGATGAAAAAGGTTTAGAATGTTGTTAGTGGAGCTTAATGGGTGATGGTGATTATGATGGAAATTCATAAGACCATAATGCCAACAGGACTGTGGACAATAAAGATGGGGCTCATGAGGTTTCAGAGGAGAAATCTATTGGAAGTTGGACCAAAGTTATTCATGTTATGTTCTGGCTAAGAAGTCGCCTATGTTTTGGCTGTGTCCTAAGACTTTCTGTGAGGCTTCATGTAAAGATGATGGGCTGGTGGTGGAAATTTCAAGGCAGCACAGCCTTTGGTGTGGGGGCTGTTACGGATGTTGCTGGCAGTGTTTAGTGAAGTTTGCCATGATAATCAAGAGCAGAAAGATTTGAAAAGCTTGCAGTTTGATCAGAAAATTGGGAGTCAAATTGAAGCTAGCTAGTTGTGAGAAGGAAGCTGAAGTGGCAGTAGATATCTCTATGATTAAGAAATGCCAGTAACAGGGGACATTGACCTAGCAAAGGTGCAGAAATTGAACAGAGACAAGCCAACAGAGAGGCCATGTGGACTGCAACCAGCAAAGCCTAATGTTTTCTCAGAAGGGGCAGAGCTACAAATACCCTTTGTAGAAAACATTAGGATGCCATGTGCCCTAGGTGCTGGGCATGGAGCTTCAGGACTTGTTTGCCTAGTTAGATTTTGGCATTGCTTTGGTCCCATCTCTTCTTTCTATGCACATATTTCTCCCTTTTGGAATGGAAATATTGACTCTGTGCCTTTATATATCGGATATAGATATAATTATATATACTACATATATAACTAGATATAATTTTTACAGGGGCTCATGCTAAGAGTTTGAGTCTCAGAGGAGACTCTGGACTTGTACTTTTGGGTGATCCTGAACTGTTGAGAATATGGGAAACCATATGGGAAACCTTGAAAATGGACTAAATATATTTTGCATTGTGTGATGATCATGAGCTTTGAGGAGCCAGGGATAATATGTTATGATTTTGATATTAGGTGTTCCACAATAGCTCACGCGTATGACAATGCAAGGAGGTTTAGAGGCGAAATACTTGGATTATGAGATCATCCGTTTAATCAGTACATTAATCTCAGGATAGGAATTAACTGACTGGTCACTGTAGGCAGGTAGGGTATGACTGGAAGTGGGTCACTGGGGACATGCCTTTGGGGTTTATATTTTGTCCTCTTGAGGAAAACTCACCCCTGCCCCTTTTTTTCCTGGTGCCATGTTCCCAGGGGGCTTTTCTCCTCCACACCCTTCTGCCGTGATGTTCTACCTCACTTCCTCAAGCTCTGAAAAATTGAGTCAGCCATCTATGAACTAAGATGTCTGAAATTGTCACCCTCAAAACGAACTTTTATTCCTCTAATTGTTCTTGTCAGGTCTTTGGGTCACAGCAGCTAAAACAGCTGTCAAAAACAGAGTTGGTTTTGGATAGGACATCCATCATAATCTGTTTACTACTTCTTAAGGAATAGAAGGTTTTCTGAGAAGCTTCTTTTCACCAGATCTGTTCCTTTACCCTACACTAAAGTGAAATCAAATGGACCCATGAAAAAAAATCTAAGGAACCCATGATATGAATCCTACCTCTCTGGAAAATCTTCATTGACTTCATTAACATTTGTTGGTCCCAGTAGCTTTTTCCAGTATTGTAAACCATTTTCTCTCAATAAAACAAGGAGAAGAGATGGACCACTGTTAGAAAAGAAACAACAATTAAATAAAGTGTGGTTCAGTGTCCAATGACATGTACATAATACAAATATATGTTGTTAAACAGACTAAAAAACAAGTCAAAATAATTTTTGAAGTGTCTGAATTTCTATTGATAGCCTTTCTTTTTTTCCCAAATATTTATTTTTTTTACTTGTAGTTGGACACAATATCTTTATTTTATTTATTTATTTTTATGTGGTGCTGACTATAGAACCCAGGGTCTCGCACATGCAAAGCAAGCGCTCTGCTGCTGAGCCACAACCCCAGCCCTATTGATAGCCTTTCAAGAGCATGTTTTAAAAAGGTAAGCAGAGAAAGAAAATGAAGAGAAGACCTGTGGTTCTTTGGGAGCAGTTCTTTTGAGGCTCCTGTGCTCCTGCTGGCTTATGTACCCTTGCTGTATATCTGCTTCTGCTGCTATTTCAGTTACTCTTCTAGGTATCTCAAAATTTTCTAGCATACAATTCATTTCCTAGGACTGCTGATCTGTAGGACTAAGAAAGCCCCGATCAACAGTCAATTCAGACTAACCCAGAGCCAGTGCTCTGTTTGTACCTGAATTTCTGGCATCAGTTCAACTAGATGCCAGTAACATCTCAATGCTCTAGTAAAATCCCAGGAAAACCAGAGAAGACAAGGAGCTGAGCAGAAAACTGGGATAGTGTAAGTATTTTCAAAAAAAGTAGACTCAGAGCATGTTTGCAAAAAGAATAGAAAGCAGGGTTAAGAGAAGGCTTAAATGACTTAAAAATAAGTCACATATTTTTATAAACATGGATTCTACTTTACCTCATCATATTTTCTATAAGTTTGTCATAGTAGTCTTCATTTTCATATTCCTCACACAGCATTTGAGCTTCTTCTTCGGACAATTCTGTTTGTCTTTGATACAGTATTTTAAAGCCTTCAGCTTCAATAATATCCAAAACCTCATCTAAATAGAAGTAATCACATAATAAGTTTCAACCTGCGTCATAGGAACAACACAGAATATCATGAGGGCAAATAATACATTTCTTTCTCAAAGGAAATATAAAAGTTCACAAAAATAACTTCTTAGGTTTCAATTTCAGGTGAATGATGTTTCTTTTCTAAAAAAAATTTATTTGTTCTAATTAGTTATACATGGTAGCATTTTGATTCATTGTACACAAATGGAACACAACTTTTCATTTCTCTGGTTGTACATGATGTAGAGTCACACCACACGTGCAGTCATACATGTACCAAGGGTAATGATGCTCATCTCATTCCACCATCTTTCCTGCCCCCATTCCCCCTCCCTTTCCCTCCCTCATCTTTGTGTAATCAAAGTTCCTTCATTCTCCCCACACTACACACACACACACACACACACACACACACACACACACACACACACACACA